GGGAATGCCCATCAACTGGGGAATGGCTGAACAAGGTATGGTATAAGGTAATACTATTGTGCTATAAGAAATGATGAGCAGGAGGACTTCAGAAAACCCTGGAAAGACTTGTATGAACTGGCGCTGAGTGAAATGAGCAGAACCAGGAGAACACTGAACACAGTAACAACCACACTGTGCAATGACTGACTTTGATAGACTTAGCTCATCTCAGCAGTGCAAGAATCTAAGACAACTCCAAAAGACTGATGATAGAAAATGCTATCCACACCTAGAAAGAGAACTATGGAGTCTGAATGCAGATGGAAGCAAACGATTTGCTCTCCTTTTCCTTTGTTGTTTTGTTTTATTTCTTCTTTCTCATTATTCCTCCCTTTAGTTCTAATTCTTCTTTACAACATGGCTAATGTGAAAATACGTTTAATATGAATGCATTAACTAGAGCCTACATCAGATTGTATGCTATCTTGGGGAGGGGGGGAGGAGAGGGATGAGAAGAAAATTTAAAATCCAAAATCTTACAGAAGTGAAGGTTGAAAACTAAAAATAAATAACAATTTTTAAAAAATAGTTAGTGGTTAAAAAAAAAAACCACCTCAAACACAGGAAACTGGCAAGATAATGAAAAACAGAAAGGACTGATGTTGGAAGAGTCATGGGAAGGCAGGCACACAGATAAACTTTTGGTGGAGCTGGGAATTGGTACAGCCATTTCGATAAAATTTGGAATTATTTGAGAAAGGTAACTAATCTCATCATACCCTTTGGCACGGCAAATTCTAAGTTGATTATTGTGTTCCCCTTATATCTACTCTGGTATCTTCAGGCAAAATCCATTTTTTCCTTCTCATTGGAATTGTTTCCCTTTGTGTCTTCAGAATTTCATTTTTAAGCATCTCTCAAACCTCCTAGACTGAGTTCTGCATGGGAGATGACTCACTGCGCCTGGAAAAAATAGCTGGAAGTCTAGAAGTCAAGTTGTCCCCAGATGAGGCTAACTAAGGTAAAAGAGCATAAATATTCTTATATAAAATGGACCTTGAAAACCATCAAGTTTCAAGAAAAAAAAGAGAAAGTCTTTCTGTAGATCTGCAAATATAATGTGTCTGGTGGATGAAAACTTAAGAGCGCTTATGAGAGAAAAATATTCTTTCAATCACAAAGTTCCCTCCTAAAATGTGTACAGTTACCAAGGAGACACAGTCTAGCTGTTTTCATCAAAGACTGTCCTTTTATCCAAGGTTATAATTTGGAAAACTATGCTGATCATGGAGGGGAGGCAAAGGTAGAATGAATGCCAATCAATTGTGGAATGGTGGAACAAGCCATGGCATAAGGGTGCAATGGAATATTATGGTGCTATAAAAAATGATTAATAATAGGCATTCAGATGAACACAGCAAGTTTTGTATGAAATGATAGAGTGAAAATAAGAACTAAAAGAATAATACATGAAGTAAACTACAGCAATTTAAATGTTAACACTAAAAATCAGTCAAAAGCTAATGAATTTTGGTAAACAACATCAGTCTTAGAGTGCAGGTAGATGGTACAATGGTTAAAGCACCAGGCCTGGGCATCTTTGGGACTTCAAATCTGGTCTCAGATACTTATTAGCTGTATGACCCTGGGTAAGTCACTTAACCCTGTTTGCATCAGTTTCCTCACCTGTAAAAGGAGCTGGAGAAGGAACTAGCAAACTATTCCTGCACCTTTGCCAAGAAATTCCAAATGGGGTCATGAAGAGTCAGACACGACTGAAAAACAACTGAACAACAAAACAGTCTTAAAGAACTACAAGGAAACCCACTTTCCTCCTCCTGGAAGAAAGGTCGAGACCACGAATGTGGAATTTGACCGTTAGGCTATTGGATAGGGATCTGGGCAGTGAGGTAGCACAGTGAATACAGCACTGGATGTGGAGTCAGGAAAACCTGAGTTCAAATCTTGCCTCAGACACTTTCTAGCTGTGGTACCCTCAGCAAGTCATTTAACCTGTTTGCCTCTATTTTCTCAACAGTAAAATGGGGATAAGAATAGAACCTACCCCCAGGCTTTGTGAAAATGCTTTTCTCTGTTACAATAAAAGTTCAAAAGGGGATAGGGGAGGGGATAGGGTTTTAAGGGTAAATGACAGTGGTGTAAAAACAAAAAGCAACATAAAACTTTTCTTTTTTTTTTTTAAGGCAATTGGGGTTAAGGGACTTGCCCAGGGTCCCACAGCTAATAAGTGTCTGAGGCCATATTTGAACTCAAGTCCTCCTGATTTCAGGGCTGGTGCTCTATCCACAGTGCCATCTAGCTATCCCTGAAACTTTTTTTTTTTTAAAGAACATATGCTCATCTCTGATTTACCTGGGTACCAGTGGGGCAGGATCAACATACCCAAAAGAAGCTATCATCATTCCCTAAGCCTGCTCATCTCTTTGGCATCCCACTATTAGTGAATGACACCCCTCTCCCATATAAACACATACCCAGCCTCTCAGTCCTCCAGTCACATGTGACTGAAAGTGGCTAGACTGGCAGGTAAGATGGATACCAGAGGTCTACAGCTTACTAAAACTTCAACAAAGTCCCTCATGCTATTTGTGTGCCTCAAGTCTTTTTTTTTCCCTCATGCTATTTGTGCAGGAAAAAAATGGAGCTATGTGGGCTAGACGGCAGCATAGTAGGGTGAATTTCGAATTGGTTGAATGACCAGACCCAGAGAATAGTCATGAAAAATTTGACATATGAACTTGAAAGTTCATCTCTGGAGTAGAGCCCTAGGGATATGCGCTTGGCCTTAAAAGATTGAACATCTTTATTGATGACGTGAATAAAGGCTTAGGAAATGTGTTTATCAAATCTGCTGATGACACAAAGCTGGGAGGGAAAAATGGTTAACACAGGGAATGATAGTTACAATCTGAGCAGATCCTTATAGGCCAAAATGTTGGGCCAAATGTCACAAGATGAAATTTGGTAGGGATAAAGGTGAAGCATTATACTCGGATTCCAAAAAATCAATTTCACAAGTATAAGATGGCAGAGATGTGGCTAGGAAAGAGGTCTTCTGAATAAGATCTGAGGTTCTTAGTGGCCTGCAAGCTCAGTAGTGTGATATCGCAGCCCAAAAAGCTAAGGGGATCTTAAGTTACATAATGAGAGACATAAGGCCCAGGACTCAGGTCTAGAGCTACAGAAATGGCACTACAGATGGCAGACCTGCAGCCAGAAAGCAGACCTCAGGCAAAGGCTTAATACTAGGTTGGCTGGGACTCTGAAATGAACTGGTCTGAACAGACTGGATGCCAGAAGGACCAGAGACTTGGACATCAGGACTGACACAGAGCCAAGCACATATTCCAAGGACGGCATAATGCCTGGCTATGCCTAACCTTCTGCCACCTTGAGATATAGCTACCAAGCTAGTGCTAACCGTGAATTTAGTCCAGTTCCTGGAGACCCAGACCTCTTAGATTCTCAGTGTTTGGAGAGGGAATACCATACCAACACTGCCCTCCATTATCACAGGACTCCAAAAGATAGAGGCTCCAGGCAACTGGTGACTAAATTTGAAAATGTATACCTATCACTCCCAATCACGGTGACTCAGCATCAATGTCTCTCAAAGTAAAAGCCTACTTCACCTGCTACCTCTCCCTGACAGCTAATCCTACCAACCCCCTTCCTCCTCTGCCCTTTCTTTCCAAACCTTTCTTCACTTCTTTCATCTTCGTATGCTCATGGAAACCTCTCTCTTTAAGATGCTTCATCACCAGCCACCTTCTCTAGTGCCAATGGCTCCTTCTTCTATGTCCCCTGATACACTGAGATGGGTGAAGGAGTTGGCATACTCTTTGCTTCCCTGGGCCACAGCCAGACCTTCCCTAGCCTACCATCATTCAGCAACTTTATCTAATCCATCCATCTATAGAACCTGGTCAGTTGCTTGATAATAGGATCTACCAGCCTCCAGAACTCTTCCTCCTTTCTCACATTCATTATCTGGCTCCAAGTCTTTCCCTCCAACCCCAAGTACTCTCCCATACACTGGCCACCCAGTTCATTCACTTCTTCCACTCCTGTGACTTCACCTTCACTTCACCTCAGTGACCCAAAGAGATGGTGGGTCATACCCTAAATTTCACCATCACTCAGACTAGTGTCATTTCCTTGATTCTTAACTCACAAATCACCCCTTGATGACCATATCTCCCATCCCTCCATCTCTCTCTGTCCCTCCCTCCTCTCTCTTCCATTACCCTCCTTCCCTTTCTTTCTCTCTCTTCCTCTCTCCCCTCCTTCCTTTCCCCTCCATCTCCTCCATTACCCTCCCTTTCCCCCTCTCCTTCTGCCTGTCTTTCTCCCTCCCCCTTTCTCTCTCTCTCTCTGTCTCTCTCTCCTCATACATTAAGTAAAGGAAAACCAGTCTGTTCCATACATTTTTGCAATGGTTAATACACTGTCTATCTATATCTAATCTCCATGTTCTCCTCTCCTCATCCCAATCCACTCCCCAAGTGCAGGGCCTGGGTCTGCTCATTTTCTAATTTCTCCAGACTGGCTAATGTCTTCCCCTCCAAGATTACCTTCCATCTACTCTGTATATACCTTGTACATGCTACCTCTTCTAGTAGAACACAAGTTCCTTGAGGGCAGGGACTGTCTGCTTTTTCTTTGTATCACCAGGGCTTAGCATATTTCCAGGCACAGAATAAGCACTTAATAAATGCTTGCTGATTGATTGACTGGGAGCTCCCTTTTGTCTGCTCCTCCTGTCTACCCAGGGCTCTAAGCTTCCTAAGGCCAGGCAGGCCCTGAGTCCATTCTTACTTCTTCTCCCCTAGATTATAAGCTTCTCTATGGGCAGGGCCTGGTTCTACCCATCTTGTTTTCCCACAACTTGACTTGGCTCAGAGCTGAACACAGTTGCTCAGTACAGACTTGCTGATTGATCCTTACAACTTCTGCTACTTGTATCTCCCCTTTGTCCCCACATGACTGGTCCTGACCTGTTGGGCAGCTCTGATCATCCTCCTGGCCTCATCCTTGATGCTGGGGTTGTCAGGTGGCGGCGGCTGCACCAGAGTGGTCACTTCAGTGCCCTGAAAGCCAAAGGTCATAGGCCATCCGAGGTCAAGTTCAGGCACAGCCAAGTCTGAATTCACAGGCCAGTAGGTACCAGAGGAGCCGTCCATGTCTACGTCAGCATCTGCGTGGGGAAGGGATCCGGAGGCACTTCCCTGGCCAGTGGCATTCTCCCGGGAGGCATGCTGTGGCTGCTGAAGATGGCGGCTCACGTGAGCCAGCTCATCAGGACACAGGAAGTCAGGGGCTCCCTCATCCGCCAGGAAGCGTCGGTAGGCCTCAGCTCCCCCCTCAGCCAGGGCATCTAAGGCCAGCCGGTAGTATTCCTTGTAGTGGGGGGGCAGGTAGTCCGGGGCTAGGGGGTTGTCCCCCTGGGAGGAGCTCTGAGATCGTCGAGCCATGGCAGTTGGGCCAGGGAGCTACAACAGAAGGGAAAACAGTGTCACACGAGAAGACCAGATTAGGCCCAGGGCTTCTAACAAGACAGTGACCTGTCCTTCAAAGTCTAAGAAAGCACAGGCCATGTCCCCCAGACACATCCACAGAATACATCCCATCCAGGGACGATTACATCCTCACGTGAACACATACACAGTCTGCCTCAGAACACCACACAATCAGCACAAACACAGACAACCACATGGCCATATATGGGTAGAGAGACGGGCTACATTCCTGAGGAGCCCCTCAGAGGTCAGGGTTCGCTGGGAAAGCCAGGCACAAGGGTGAGCTGGATGGGCTCTCCCTGAAGGTTCGGGACATGAAATACTCTGGATTCTACAGGAACAATGGACCCACCTTATGGCTGGTAGGTCAGACCCACCAGTATCCTTCTGAGTCCTCCCATTATCCCCCAAGGCCAGGGGATCAGGATACCTCAGTATCATATGACTTAGAGTTATATAGCACCTTAGAAATAATGCAGTCTAAGTTTCTCAATTTTATAAAGAAACTGAGGCTCAAAGAGATGTAGGGAACTCCCTCTCCTCCACTAATCTTAGCTCCCTTCATGATCACCTCTAGCCAGGGATTTGAGACCCCAAACCTCATTAGCCCTATCACTTCTGCTACAAAGGGGATAGGACCTGGAACACACCCCCAACATGAAACCCTCAAAACTCCCTAGAGCCAAGGGTCTAAGACTTGGCCTGCTCTCACTAACACACGAGGAAAGGAAATAACCCAGGTGTCCGGCCTGAGCGGGCCCCCACCCAGCCTGGAGGGGAGCAGGGAATATTGCATCAGGCGACACCCTGGCCCCGCCCCTGTAGCACATCTCCCGGAGTGGGGCAGGGCCTGAACAGCCCAGGGGCGGAGACCTGCAGCCCCAGGTTACCTTTACCTGGGCGGGGAGAGGTAGGAGGAGGGTCCAGCCACGCCCCCTCAGTAGAGGCAGATGGAAAACCCGGAGTGGAGAAATCCAAGACCGCTAAGAGTCTTAGCCCTTCCAAACAACCAACTGAAGACTTATTACTTTCCCATTTACACACACACACACACACACACACACACTTATACACATACATGCACCACCACCACCACCATTATCTACTTGAACCCATATATTATTCCATCCATTCCACCCCATTTCACATAAACAAAACTTGGGGTTGTTGTTAGCCTAGAAATTACTTATACGCATCTGCTGTTGTCATCCCCTGAAATTACACACACAAAAGACTCAAACACATGCTTTTATTAACTGTTTCACTAAACCTCCCCCCTTAAACAGAGAAATCCTCTTGTTAACCACCTGCAATCACACACACATATATACACACAATACACAAGTTGCTACCTGCCCCATACTCAACCCTCAAATTATATGCACACTATTGTCTTTCCCCTGATACGCTACTGTTACCCTCCTTCCAGAGATCAGAGAACCTGCTTGTAGTACCCACCACATAGGACCTTGCTGTTATCACCTTCCTCAAGTTCTGTACAGCGTAAACCCTCACCATTACCACCGGACCATCCTCACCCCTAGACCTTACTGTCATCTCCCCTCACCAAACACACACACACACTTCTGAATGAAAATTATTTATCCTTATACCCAGACTCTGAGATCCCGAGGATTGGGGGAGAGGGAAAGAGAGGACGACACATGGGGTTGGAGTACCTGAGTTCAAATTATGACTCTGCCTCTTACTACCCATGCGGCCTTGGGCAAGTCACTTAACCTGGGGACCTTGGTTTTCTCATCTGTGAAATGAGGGGAGTTAGACTATGTGATCTCGGGCTTAAGTCTTTTTCAGCTCTAAATCTTTGATCCTATGACGTTACACACACATACACACAGGCTTCTGCTACTCCTCTAAAGACCTCTAATTATGCTCCGCAAACAGACCCTACTCCACAGAGGTCCCAAATTTATCTCCAGACCCTAATTACCCTCCCTCTCCCCATCCTACACTGGACAGAAGTGAGTCTTGTTTTCTAGGGAGTTCCAGCTGCACACGTTAGCCATACACAGGCAGGCCTCCCCTCTAGTCAAGCAATTGTCAGTTCAGGAGGTTAGGATGTTAGAAGTCATCTAATCTAGATGTCAACCCCTTCATTTTATAGATGGGGACATTTGAAACCCAGCGCTTGCCCAGGATCTCACGGGTACTAAGTGGCAGATTCCAGCTCAGGTGGTACAACTCCAAGTTCAGTACCCAAAGTCCTGGGCTCTTTGCAGGGCACCCCACCTCTGAGGTGGATTGACCTTGTGACAGACAAGCACTGACATATCATGAGGCAGCTAGGTGGTATAGTGGATACAGTGCTGAGACTGGAATTAGGAAGACCTGAGTTCAAATCTAACTTAGATGCTTACTAGCCATATATCCTTGGACAAGTCACTTAACTTCTGTCTGCCTCAGTTTCCTGAATTGTAAAATGGGGATAATAATAGCACCTACCCAATGGGGTTGTTGTGACAATTAAATGAGATAATAGGCATTTATAAGTAGGTACTTAATAAATGTTTATTTCCTTATTTTTCTTCCTTCCTCCTGGTTAGACAAAGTTTCTCACATGCTACATATGGGTACAAACTAGATAACCATTTTTCTTTTCCTTTTTTTAAATCTGTAGGGAAAAAATGAGGAAAGGGACTGGGTCCATGATTTCATTGGCATAAGCAGATCCCAAATGAGGAAACTCTCTCTACAATGCAGGTCACCACAGTCTCTGCAATTTCCAGGCTTATGAGTTGCCTAGAGCACTGAGAAGTAAGTGACTTGCCCAAAGTCATATGGTCAGTATGTTTCAAAAGGCAGGATTTGAACAGCTTTCCTGGCTCTTGGGCCATTGCAGGAAAAACAAAAACTAAAAAAAGCAAAGGAAAAACAAATATATTTTTACTAAGTTCTTGATTCTTAAGAACTTAAGTTACTCCACTAAAGACCCAATTTATCCCCTGATTTCATTATTGTCCTACCTATATACATGCACTAACTACTGTTACCTTTGAAAACTCTGCAATCACTACCCCTAAAGCCTCTGCAGTTAAACCCTTCCCCTCCTCCCTGTCCAAAAAAAAGTACTACCATCTTTCCCCAATGACCAGGAATTTGGGCCTCCCCCTCGTAGGAATCACAGGCAGTAATTTGCCAGGATGTGTTGAGAAAGGGACATGGAGTGGGGAATGGGTAAGAGTATGTGGTTCAAGAATTGGTACCATGATATCCCCCAAGCAGACCTCCTTTACTGGCTTCCCTAGAATTGAAAAAGCCAAAGACACCTCTTTACCACCACGGGGCGAGAAGGCCCTGAGGTATATACTCCCCATCTAGAAATGGAGAAATATAACACTCAATGGATCTCAAATGTCTACAAGTGTAAGCAGATCTTATCGCCTATGCTTTTGGCCATTTCAGACTTGGCCTTGATTCTCCAGGAATGTGCCCCCATACACACACCCTCCCTAGATTTGTCATTCTTCCCCAGGCCCTTCAACTCTCCAATTACTCTCAAAGACTCATAAAATATTATCACTGGAAGGAACCTTGTGTAACCTTACATGTCTAATCCAAACCCTTCATTTGACAGATGAAGTAACTGAGATTCAGAGAGGAAAGTGACTAGCCTACGGTCACGCAGCATCCTCTGTCCCCTATCACAGGGTATGTAACAAGCCTATGTAACATACACAAGTGTTAGTGCTGGAATTTAAAAACCAGGCCTGGTGTTTTTTTCCTGTACACTACAACCAGCTCTTTCTCCTTTGTAAACTCCTTCCTCTCCCAGTCCTATCTCCCTAAAAATTAGGGGAATTCCTGACAATTAGCTCTGTCCAAAAACAGAATGGGCAATCTCTGGAGGTAATGGGTCTTCAAGTAGGGATTTGGTGGAGGGAATTCCTGCCCAGGTACAAGATGGCTTCACGGCCAAAGTCTCTTCCAACTCTGGTATTCTGTGATTCCTCAATGACTCTCATTTTCTCTCAACCCATTTCCTACTATCCCTATCCCCATTATTCTACTCTACCTTCTTTCAATGTCCCTCATCTCTCCCCCATAACCCATTCTCTCCCTCCCTACTCTCTCCTAATCCTCAGTCTCCCTCTTTTCCTCCCCTCTACTGATCTCATTCTCCCCAATCCCCTTTTCTCACCATCTCCTTCCTTTTCCCCCAGCCCCTTTCTCCCTTTAAAAATCCTCTTTTTTTTCCCCAAATTCTTCTCATCCTACTCCAGTCACTTTCTCAAAAGCTTAATCTTCTTTCACTCACTTTTACTCTTTCTTCCCTCCATCCATCTCCTCCCTGAGAGCTAAACTACAGATAGCCTCTTGGGTACCTCCCTCAACCCTGGTGGCCTTAGGGAAAAGAGAGGCCTCCTCATTCAGGTAGTTTATCCTGAGTACCAAGGAAACTGGCCTCCCAGGTCTGATAAGCAAAGTTCTTAGCCCTTTTTCTTCTCTGGGTTTAGCACGTCCTTCCTGGGGTATGGGCCATTAGGACACGATCAAGGCAAAAACAGGAGAGATTCAATTCTGACAACAAGAAATAGTCCTAAAAGAGGTTCTGAGATTTAAGACACAGCCAGGTGCCCTCTGAAGAACAGAGGAAGAGCGGGGCAGCTAGGTGGCACAGTGGATAGAGCACTGGCCCTGAAGTGAGGGGGATCCGAGTTCAAATTCGGCCTCAGACCAAACACTTGACACTTACTAGCTGTGTGACCCTGGGCAAGTTACTTAATCCCAATTGCCTAAAAACAAAAAACAAAAAAAAAAAGAATGGGGAAGAGGCTAACCATCTCCCTCCTATGGTAGGGTCTGCTCAAAACCTAAGCTCAGGGGAACTCCTAACCCTACAGGAATCACAAAACCCCTAAAATAGGCAGGGCACTAAGAGGATTGAGCAGTGGAAGGACCATAACCACAACTGACCACATCAGGTCTGTGAATCAATCAGTCAATCAATAAGC